GTTTAAATAATTTAATGTTATCTATTTAAACCTTTTTCAAGTGTAATTGTACATGTTACGGCATGTATACTGTTGTTTATTTATGTCTTTCTGATGTCAAGTATGCATCAAGGAATCCTTATCCTGCTCTCCTTCTTCTGCTCCACACACACACACGCATGAGATGACAGAAGTTTAAATAATTATAGCATTTGCTTATATTATGAATTGTATATTTAAAAGTTGTTCTCGTCTAAAATATACATACATTGTAAAATATTTGCCACTGAACATTAAAATAAGCAAGAAAAATCAATCGATTATTGTTTTTGCATTATAGGAATGAGTTTTCAAACATACATGTATAACAATTGAATAATTTCCTTTTAAGCTTTTTTTATGAACCAGCATATAGATATAACATGTATAAGGAGATGAGGTACATGTATGATTCTCAATGTGACAACTATCAATTAAAAAACCAAAGGACGAAGATGTAAACATTTGCTGGTCACTGTACAGCCATAAACAATGATCAAAATCCATACCATAAAGTAACCTATTATGGCTATACATGTAACTTGTATAAGGATGAAAAAATGTGAACCAATAAAAAAAATAAAACTACACACAGTATGGCAGACAGCACCCAACATAAGAACCAAATGTCAGAATCAGCCAGAAAGGGCTGGACTCATCAACAAGCACTAAAAAGAAATAACAAAATAATAAAAGATGCAAAAATTATGTATTCCCAAACTAAAATATCTATCAGTTCACCTTCGACAGATTTAATCAATTAATGTAACAACAAAACATTTGTCATTTCAAACAGTCTAAGAAAGCATGACTTTGTGTAATGCCAAAATATTGAACACACAAGAATAAGTAGGACCATAACAGCATATAAGTATTAATAGTTGCATAGAATTTCAATTTCTGAAATACATGTTCTGCTTTTTGTCAAGCTTGCAAATTTATTTCACGAAAGCGAGACAGTGATCCTAGATTCTGCCAGAGGCAGCGTCGCTGTCCTAAAAATTAGGTTCAGTCTGTGGTTAAATTTTTTTTGAACATTGATAACTTTGTCAAACAGACATGGGATTTTGTGAAATTGAGACAGAATATTCGAAGCTTCTTAATAACCAAACTACAGTATCCAAGGCAAAATTTTGAAAATATTCTTTTTCATTTTTCTGTATTTCAACTAATAAATGGGCTTAGTTTTTGATGAGCTTGCAACTTCCGTTGCAGAAAGCTCGACATAGGGATATTGATCAGGCGGCTGCGTCCATGGTGGGGTTAACAAACTTCTTCAAATCTTTATATTTTAGAAGGTGGAAGACACGGATGCTTCATACTATGTACAATGTATATAGATGCATATGTATGTTATGAAGTTTCTGTCAGTCAACTGTCCATTGTCCTTGAACTCATTTTCATGGTTCAGTGATTACTTGAAAAAATAAAGATTTTTTGTAATGTTAATTTCTCTCATAATTTCCGTCTTATTAATATTATTTATAGTATTCATGGTAATAGGATATTTATATTTACTTAGTATATGGGTACCTTGCAAGGTCCTACTGTCTGTCTACTCTGTCAGAAAGTTTTTGTGGTCAAGTCAATATCTCAGGCATTATAAGCAATAAGTCTACTGTATTTGGTGTATGGAATTATTGTAAGGTGTAGATGTCCAACTGGTAGTTGTAATCTGGCCTTGACCTCATTTTAATGGTTCAGTAATAAGTTTTTATGTTTTGGTTTAATTTTTGGATACTATAAGCATTCAGTAAATTATATTTGGTGTATGGAATGTTTGTAAGGTGTACTGATCTAAAATTGAGAATGGAAATGGGGATTGTGTCAAAGAGACAACAACCCGACCAAAGAGCAAAAAACAGCCAAAGGCCACCAATGGGTCTGACAGTAATCACCTGAACTTGACCTCATCTTCATGGTTCATCGGATATTTTTTTCTTGCCTAGTCTGTTTTCCAGATACTATAAGGTAAAGATGAACTATAATTGGTTTCTGGAATGATTGTAAATTAAAATTGTAAGGTGTTTAGGTTTAACTTTACATTTATCTTGCAGGCTTCATCTGACCTTAACCTTATTTTCATTGTTCATTGGTCAATATTAAATTTCTCTTGATTTGGTCTTTTTTTTAGATACTAAAAGTAAAGGTGAACTACTTTATGTTTATGGAATGATTGTAAGGTGTTTATATTTGTCTTGCAGGTACAATTCTTGCCAGATTTTTTAAAACTTATTCTATATGTTAATATCAGCATAATCCTAGTCAAGCTTTATAAATTTGGCCGATCAACTTTTTTCAAAAGAGTTATGCCCCTTGGAAATAATAAATTTATGGAAAATGGCCTCGTAAATGCTCTCATTTTTTTTTATTAAACTTATAAATGTAGTATACTATTATAGTAATGCCCTGGTCGGTTTGAAGTATTTAGTATACAAGAAAAAGAACTTTTTTTCCCCCAAACACATTTTTATTTATAAATATTTTTGAGAACAAAAAATAAAATTGAGAATGGAAATTGGGAATATGTCAAAGAGACAACAACCTGACCAAAGAGCAAAAAAACATGTTTTTTTTTTAATATTGCCCCTTGATAGATAAAAAATGTACGACTAGGTGGACATTGAAACTCTGTTCTTTTATTTTTACTTGCAGAAACTGAAAAGTAAAGAAACAGAACCAAAGAACGTTAATTTTAGATTAATACAATATTGAACTGAAAGTCAATTTAGTTGTCTTTCTTTATCATACAGGATGTTTCCAAAAAAGCAGCTGCATACACATGCACCAGTAATAGCCAGCAGTGAAGACAATTAAATATCTGTGTATGGTGATATAGCAATAGAAATATCACATACATCATAGGAAAATAGAAATGGAGTATGTCAAAGAGACACACATAATGACATATGAAAATAGAATATAGACAATAGAAATGGAGTATGTCAAAGAGACACACATAGGAAAATAGAATATAGACAATAGAAATGGGGTATGTCAAAGAGACACACATATGAAAATAGAATATAGACAATAAAATTGGGGTATGTCAAAGAGACAAACATGAAAATATAGAATATAGACAATAGAAATAGGGTATATCAAAGAGACAAACATATGAAAATAGAATATAGACAATAGAATTTGGGTATGACAGAAACAAAAATATTAAAAATAGAATACAGACAAAAGAAATGGGGTATGCCAAAGAGACAAACATATGAAAATAGAATATAGACAATAGAAATGGTGAATGTCGAAGAGACAAACAAACCAAAATAGAATATACTAGACAATAGAAATGTGGTATGTCAAAGAGACAAAAATATGAAAATAGAAGAGACAACAAGTTAATCAAAAAATAATTCTACTTGATATAAAAATTATGGAGCACTGTTATTTTTCTGCATAAAAGAATGCCTGTATACAGTTGTTTTTTATTTGTTTGAGCTTTTGATTTTGCCATGTATTTTCTGTGGAGTTTGGTATTTTGGGTTATTTACTTTTTAAAGCAACAGCTCATCACAATGAAGTATTTACACTCAAAATGAGTTCCTGACAGAAAAAAAGATAATAAAGAAAAACATATTAAAACATCAAAACATAACTCTAAAAAACCTACCGCAAAAACAAAATACATATATATACGAACCATGTTTAGAATCTATGAGAAAATAAATGCATTTGAACAATTAAAAACATTTAAAAAATATATATTGAGGACCAAGATAAAATCATATGAAAACATATGTTTGGGCCAAACATATGAAAACATATGTTTAGGACAAACATATGAAAACATATGTTTAGGCCAGGTATGAAAACATATGAAAAACATATGTTTGTAAAAAACATATGAAAAACATATGTTTTCCATATGTTTACATGTATGAAAAACATGTTTTTCATATGATTTTAAAAACATATGTTTTTCATATGTTTTCCATATGTTTTCCATATGTTTTCCAAATGTTCGAAAACATATGTTTTCATGTCGGGCCTAAACATATGTTTACATATGTTTTCAAACACATGAAAAACATATGTTAAACATATGAAAACATATGTTGCAGTTTTTCCTATGTAGATGCATTTTTTAGTAGCATCCCTCGATGAATCATGCATAGATATATTGTTCAAAAGCGATTTGTCATGAAGCAGAAATGGACCTAAACCTTTCTTCCTAAATATGTCAATCAATCTAAAAATGCGTTTAAGGGGGTAATATATATATACCTAAATCATAGCATGGGGTTGAACTGATGAGTAAAGCCTTTTTCAACAGAGTTTTACTTGTTTGTTATTATGTTGTTATGTAACACCACTGTGCCAGGTAAGAGGGAGGGGTTTGATCCAGCAAATATGTTTAATCTCCCTGCATATATATATATATAATATATGTACCAGTCCCTGTAATTTTAGTGGTTGTTGCTTGTTAATGTACTTCATTTTTTTTTTAAATGTCTTTGACCTTTGGTTTATTTCGTCTGAATTGTTTTACACGTCTTCTCTATACATATGCACCTTTACACCTAAGACTATTCTATAGCTTATTATATAAACAAATAACTCAACTACAAACTTAAGTTTGTTGACTAGCTTGCTGCTTATATCTTTTCTGAGCTGCCACTTTTATTACAATACACAGCAGTGACAACATAACATATATACAAAGTACTATTTGCTCTCATCTCTCAAAATATCAATACCCAAAACACACAAAATACTGTAAAGTGGCCGATCAGGACAAACCAAATTTGGAAACCTGCATCCTTGTGTCAATGCCAAGCAAAACTTAGTGTAGGACTCACTTAAAAATGTGCATACATGTACACAAAAAATCCTCAATCTAACTAACAATTTGAACACAGAGAGTTTTAGTCCTAAAGACTACGACTATAAAAAATTTTGAGGACAAATTACATAATCCATATGTAGCCATACTATTTATACAAAGTATATACATAGAAAAAATAGGAAAAAAAGTTCTTTTTCTTGTATACTAAATATTTCAAACCGACCAGGGCATTACTATAATAGTATACTACATGTATAAGTTTAATAAAAAAAAATGAGAGCATTTACGAGGCCATTTTCCATAAATTTATTATTTCCAAGGGGCATAACTCTTTTGAAAAAAGTTGATCGGCCAAATTTATAAAGCTTGACTAGGATTATGCTGATATTAACATATAGAATAAGTTTTAAAAAATCTGGCAAGAATTGTACCTGCAAGACAAATATAAACACCTTACAATCATTCCATAAACATAAAGTAGTTCACCTTTACTTTTAGTATCTAAAAAAAAGACCAAATCAAGAGAAATTTAATATTGACCAATGAACAATGAAAATAAGGTTAAGGTCAGATGAAGCCTGCAAGATAAATGTAAAGTTAAACCTAAACACCTTACAATTTTAATTTACAATCATTCCAGAAACCAATTATAGTTCATCTTTACCTTATAGTATCTGGAAAACAGACTAGGCAAGAAAAAAATATCCGATGAACCATGAAGATGAGGTCAAGTTCAGGTGATTACTGTCAGACCCATTGGTGGCCTTTGGCTGTTTTTTGCTCTTTGGTCGGGTTGTTGCCTCTTTGACACAATCCCCATTTCCATTCTCAATTTTAGATCAGTACACCTTACAAACATTCCATACACCAAATATAATTAACTGAATGCTTATAGTATCCAAAAATTAAACCAAAACATAAAAACTTATTACTGAACCATTAAAATGAGGTCAAGGCCAGATTACAACTACCAGTTGGACATCTACACCTTACAATAATTCCATACACCAAATACAGTAGACTTATTGCTTATAATGCCTGAGATATTGACTTGACCACAAAAACTTTCTGACAGAGTAGACAGACACTAGGACCTTGCAAGGTACCCATATACTAAGTAAATATAAATATCCTATTACCATGAATACTATAAATAATATTAATAAGAGAGAAATTATGAGAGAAATTAACATTACAAAAAATCTTTATTTTTTCAAGTAATCACTGAACCATGAAAATGAGTTCAAGGACAATGGACAGTTGACTGACAGAAACTTCATAACATACATATGCATCTATATACATTGTACATAGTATGAAGCATCCGTGTCTTCCACCTTCTAAAATATAAAGATTTGAAGAAGTTTGTTAACCCCACCATGGACGCAGCCGCCTGATCAATATCCCTATGTCGAGCTTTCTGCAACGGAAGTTGCAAGCTCATCAAAAACTAAGCCCATTTATTAGTTGAAATACAGAAAAATGAAAAAGAATATTTTCAAAATTTTGCCTTGGATACTGTAGTTTGGTCATTAAGAAGCTTCGAATATTCTGTCTCAATTTCACAAAATCCCATGTCTGTTTGACAAAGTTATCAATGTTCAAAAAAAATTTAACCACAGACTGAACCTAAATTTTAGGACAGCGACGCCGCCTCTGGCAGAATCTAGGATCACTGTCTCGCTTTCGTGAAATAAATTTGCAAGCTTGACAAAAAGCAGAACATGTATTTCAGAAATTGAAATTCTATGCAACTATTAATACTTAAATGCTGTTATGGTCCTACATATTCTTGTGTGTTCAATATTTTGGCATTACAAAAAGTCATGCTTTCTTAGACTGTTTGAAATGACAAATGTTTTGTTGTTACATTAATTGATTAAATCTGTCGAAGGTGAACTGATAGATATTTTAGTTTGGGAATACATAATTTTTGCATCTTTTATTATTTTGTTATTTCTTTTTAGTGCTTGTTGATGAGTCCAGCCCTTTCTGGCTGATTCTGACATTTGGTTCTTATGTTGGGTGCTGTCTGCCATACTGTGTGTAGTTTTATTTTTTTTATTGGTTCACATTTTTTCATCCTTATACAAGTTACATGTATAGCCATAATAGGTTACTTTATGGTATGGATTTTGATCATTGTTTATGGCTGTACAGTGACCAGCAAATGTTTACATCTTCGTCCTTTGGTTTTTTAATTGATAGTTGTCACATTGAGAATCATACATGTACCTCATCTCCTTATACATGTTATATCTATATGCTGGTTCATAAAAAAAGCTTAAAAGGAAATTATTCAATTGTTATACATGTATGTTTGAAAACTCATTCCTATAATGCAAAAACAATAATCGATTGATTTTTCTTGCTTATTTTAATGTTCAGTGGCAAATATTTTACAATGTATGTATATTTTAGACGAGAACAACTTTTAAATATACAATTCATAATATAAGCAAATGCTATAATTATTTGAACTTCTGTCATCTCATGCGTGTGTGTGTGTGGAGCAGAAGAAGGAGAGCAGGATAAGGATTCCTTGATGCATACTTGACATCAGAAAGACATAAATAAACAACAGTATACATGCCGTAACATGTACATTTACACTTGAAAAAGGTTTAAATAGATAACATTAAATTATTTAAACTAACTGCAATTCTACAGATGAACTTACTTTGATACCAGTTCTTTTTGCCGGACATCCGCATCTACATGTACACCAGTGATTCTAATACTGCACTTTCCTTTCATTTGGTAACCATGGTAATAAGCTAAAATTGTAAATCTTAATTTAATCCAGAACTCCAGACAAAAACTAGATCATTTTTGTAGATGAAGTATGAACTGATGCTCAGAGTCACTAATTTATATTTTTACTTTTGAGTGAATGGAAAAAATGTGTAAGAAAACAACAACGGTCGTATAAAAAGATCAACAGTGTAACTAATATTAATAATATATGTATAGCCTAAGCCCGTTTTAGTATAGTATGAACTTTTTTCCAATATAAAATCATCTATTCTGCTGTCTACAGTTTAAAATAAAATGCTCTGCTGGGCGCAGCTTGATACGACAGCAGAGGTTGAACCCTGATGGTTGGGGCAAGTATGGATACAACATTCAAGCTTGATACAGCACTGAATTTGGATTGTGATTAAATATTTGACACAGCATAGGTTTCTGACACAGAATGAATGTGGTCTAAGAACTTAAATTTTTTTAATTTACCTATTCAAACCATATCATTATTATTTGCTTTTATATATAAATCAGAAATAACCAATTAATTTAAAATGGAAAATTTTAAAGAAAAAAAAAGGAAAAAAAAAAACCCTCCCCCAAATTTTTTGAACCCCCTTATGATTCATCACCCCCAAACTCAATCCCATCCTTCCCTTTGTGGTATGGTACCTTGCAGTACAATTTCAGAGAGATCCATACACTTGAACACAAGTTATTGTCTGGAAACTAGAAAAATGTTTGTTTTAGGCCCCTTTTTGGTCCCAAATTCCTAAACATTTAGAGCAATTACCCCCAAACTCAAACCCAGCTTTCCCTTTGTGATATGGAAACTTGTAGTACAATTTCATAAAGATCCATACTCTTACACACAAGTTATTGTCCTGAAACTAGAAAAATGCTTGTTTTTTGCCCCTTTTTGGCCTCAAATCCTAAAATTTTGAGGCAATTACCCCCAAAATCAATCCCAGCCTTCCCTTTGTGGTATGGTACCTTGCAGTGCAATTTCAGAGATCCATACACTTGAACACAAGTTATTGTCTGGAAACTAGAAAAATGCTTCTTTTTGGCCCCTTATTCCTAAACGTAGTTACCCCAAAACTCAATTCCAGCTTTCCCTTTGTGATATGGAACCTTGTAGTACAATTTCAGAAAGATCCATACACTTACACACAAGTTATTGTCATGAAACTGGAAAAATGCTTGTTTTTTGCCTTTTTTTTGGCCCCTAATTCCTAAAATTTTGAGGCAATTACCCCCAAAATCAATCCCAGCATTCCCTTTGTGATATGGAACCTTGTGGTACAATGTCAGAGAGATCCATACACTAACACACAAGTTATGTCTCGAAGTTACAAAAATGCTTATTTTTGGCCCCTTATTCCTTAACTGTTGGTACCATAACCCCCAAAATTAATCCCAACCTTCCTTTTGTGGTATTGAACCTTATGGTAAAATTTCATAGAGATCCATTCACTTAAACTAAAGTTAGATTTCCTGTTACATAGGGAAAATTGTTTAAATACACCATTTATAGGCATGTTGTGGAATCTCAATAAATACTTATGATTGCAATGTACGTTTAATCGTTGTTGTAGCTATGAAATCTATACAATAACGTCATTCACTACAGCGTTAGGGTTACAACATTACCATAGTTCAATGTTAGTACTTCGCGTATACTATTTTCAGACAAGGCAATATTAACTCATGAACATAATATGTTGTCATTTGTGTTACCATCCATACTTCATGCACTTAATAAAAGAACAGCGCTTCAATGTACTTCACCAATTGATGGATATATAAAATTTGCTGTCAAAAAGCAAAAAATATGTACTAGTATGTTCTTTTAACCTTTTTCATAAATTATAAATAATCTAAAAGAAATGAAGACATGTGTGGGATTGCTTGCAATGCAGTTTTTCTTACAATATCTATTTCTAAGAGGTATAACTACTGTAAACATATTTGATCAGCAGTTATTTTCTAACTCATAAAACTAAAAGACCATGCTGATATAGACCTATGGTATGAATTACAAAAATATCTGACAACAAAATGCAACCATAACAGTGCTTTACTGGAAAAAATGGTTATCTTTCATAGAATTTACATTTCAAAATGAAGTAATTCCTGTATAAATAATTTATCCAAGACATTACTGGTATATAATAAACCTTTGGTATACATTAATATTATATGAATAAACTTTAGACATAGAATAAAATTGAGAATGGAAATGGGGAATGTGTCAAAGAGACAACAACCCGACCACAGAACAGACAACAGCAGAAGGCCACCAACAGGTCTTCAATGCAGCGAGAAATTCCCGTACCCGGAGGCGTCCTTCAGCTGGCCCCTAAACAAATATATATACTAGTTCAGTGATAATGAACGCCATACTAAACTCCAAATTGTACACAAGAAACTAAAATTAAAAATAATACAAGAAAAAACAAAGGCTAGAGGCTCCTGACTTGGGACAGGCGCAAAAATGCGGCGGGGTTAAACATGTTTATGAGATCTCAACCCTCCCCCTATACCTCTAGCCAATGTAGAAAAGTAAACGCATAACAATACGCACAATAAAATTCAGTTCAAGAGAAGTCCGAGTCTGATGTCAGAAGATGTAACCAAAGAAAATAAACAAAATGACAATAATACATAAATAACAACAGACTACTAGCAGTTAACTGACATGCCAGCTCCAGACTTCAATTAAACTGATTGAAAGATTATGTCTTCATCATATGAATATCAGGCACAATCCTTCCCGTTAGGGGTTTGGTATCATACCATCATAACATATATGAGAAGAACATAACCCGTGTCATGCCAACAACTGGTTTTTAAATAAATGTGTTTAGTGCCGATGCAAAGACCCTATAAGTGAATCAATATTAACGCCAAAATATGCAATCTTTAATGACCTGACAACAGTATCGTAACTATATCCCTTCTTAATAAGTCTATTTAAAGGTTTTGTTAGTTTCAGAGGTGAATACTGACATTTTTGTGCTTTATAAAGAATATTTCCATAAAAAATTGGATGTGAAATAACTGAACGTATAAGAAGTCTGCATGTTGAGCTATATTTACGAATGATGTCCTTATACCGATGATAAAATTTAGTAAATGTTTTGACTAGTTTGTGATATCGAAAACCCTGGTGTAATAATTTTTCAGTAATACATAAATTTCTCTCGTTAAAATCTAAAACATTGTTACATACACGAGCGAATCGTACAAGTTGAGATATATAAACACCGTAAGATGGTGACAAGGGAACGTCACCATCTAAAAATGGATAATTAACGATAGGAAATGAAAAATCATCTCTTTTATCATATATTTTAGTATTAAGCTTTCCGTTAATGATATAGATATCAAGATCGAGGAAAGGGCAGTGGTCATTGTTAGTATTAGCTTTATTTAAAGTAAGTTCAACAGGATAAATTTCTTTAGTATACATACTGAAGTCGTCATTATTGAGAGCCAAAATATCATCCAAATATCTAAAAGTATTATTAAATTTGTGTATCAGATGTTGTTTCGATGGGTCTTTACTGATTTTTGTCATAAATTGTAACTCATAGCAATACAAAAAAGGTCCGCAATAAGTGGTGCACAGTTAGTCCCCATTGGAATTCCGATAACCTGACGATATACGGAATCTCCAAAGCGAACAAAAATGTTATCTAGTAAAAATTCAAGGGCATATATAGTATCAAAGCATGTCCAATTGACATAGTTTTTTTGTTTATTGCTACTAAAAAATGACCTAAAAGAGTTTGAACATATATATTCACATTCTGACTTTTTAAATGCCCATTTAATAAGGTGTGTGAATTTTTTCTTAATGAGAATGTGAGGCAATGTGGTATATAGGGTAGAAAAATCAAAACTTTGAACAGATTCAAAATCACCAATATATGCATGCAATTTATCAAGTACTTCCAACGAGTTCTTGACACTCCAAAAGTAATTAATTCCACTATTTTCGAAGGCCTTATTTGAACAATTTATTATCAGGTTTTTGATTGTACCAAGTGTACTGGTAAGAAGAATAGACAATTTAGTAGTGGAACAATGGCTTGAAGACGAAATGAATCTATATTTGTAGGGTGTTTTGTGTAGCTTCGGAAGCCAATACATAGTTAGGACTTTCATTGTATTTGGTTCTGCTTGTAAAGCGGTAGCTAAAAGTTTATGTTTGTTACAGATGTCGTTTTCTGAAAATGGAGTCAGTTGGAATGTTGGTGAATTGGTGATTTCTTTTTTCAGAACCTCAATGTAAAATTTACGTCAAACAATAATAATATTATTAGCAGCTTTATCGGCCGGGACAAAAACAAATTCCTTGGCTTAGGTTTATTGTGGTTATTGTTAAGAGTAAAATGTTCTTTAAAATGTTGAATACGTATATCAACTATGTTCATTACTGATTTAAAAAAAGAGTCCAAAGATTTTTTGTCAGCTTTTTCCCGTTTTATCCATTTCAAACAGTAAGTATGGAGTGAGTCGTGCATGGATGATATTACGACACTCATTCCAATTAATAATTGACGGGGGACGATATTTAGGTCCTTTACTGAGGAATGATTTTAACTCTCGGTCTTGAACGATGTTAAGATCTCCTGTTATAACATGGGAAATGGGTCCATAAATGTATTCGGAATTACTGCAATTACATGAAGTAGGTGTATTTTCACTGATATTAACATCTTTACACAATTGGCTATAATTAAACACAAATTTCCGGGTAGATTTCTTGTAAATATAACAAATAAGAGGGAGCTCAGTATTATCAAAATATCCCGGAATTTGTTCTTTAACAGAATGGTCGTTAAAAATACCGGCAATATTTACAAAATCAAAACCTTTATTGACATACTTTATTTTAATAAACTGTTTTTTATTATCTTCAGGGCGATCAATTTTGGGAAACAGTTTAGAATAACAATATGCCTTTATAATTTGAACGATTTCATACTTAGGACTGCTATATGAAATTGTGTTGCAATCCTCTAAAATTTTATTTAACTTATTAACCGGTTATGAACAGAGCTTTGTTAACAGATAATGTCTGCCGTTGTTTTTTGAAATAGAAATTAGGTCCGAAATATTGGTATGATTGGTCCGAAATTTTCTTTGATTGCGATTTTTTCTACGACCATGAGAACGGTTTTTACGAACAGTTTTAGAAACTATATCCAAAATGTTAACAGAATCGGTTCTTGATATATTACCAATTCCCATGATATTATCATTAAGACCGAGAGGGTAGAAGTATGTCTTCTCTGTATGAAATCCTATTAGTTGATTTCAAATGTTGATATTCAAATGACAATGCTTAAACATCCAAAGTCACACACCATCCATGACTTGACAAAGTTTCAAAATCAATAGACCATGACTGAGGGGCTGGGCAAAATAAAAAACAAGGGATATGAAATGTGCTAGTACTCTGACATATACAACTGCATATCAATTCATGCAAATATCAATGATTTATCATTATTGGTTCACTCAAACTGACCTAATCAGAAACTTTTCACATTTAAGTTAAGTAAAAATATCAAAGTCAATCAACCATGACTGAGGGATTTGGACCATATAATCTCAATGGAAATGGAAATGAGAAGTGGATATCCTACTTCTACTGCAAAAAATATTATTGACTTATTTAACCATAACTCGGCCATAAGTTATTGTTTGGTTTAAACTGACCTAATCTCAATTTTTAACAAATTGTTTATGACTTCGCCTCTGTTAAAAACAGCATGCCCAAGACTCATTTTCATGACTGTTGTTGCAAGACAAAAAAAGAACAAGCAATGAAGTGTTAATAGAGCGTCCAACCCTATTTTCTATAAAATTGACCTTTAAAAAAAAAAATTGTCACTGTTTATAGAAATAGCCCACAACAAGAATCAAAACTTTCAACTCTATCATGTCTATGACCTCAAAACTTGCAACATGTATACAGTCTGACAACAACAAAATATTTAAACAAAGTTATCCTCTTCATTACATACCTCTCATCACAAAATTATTCATTGACTACTGCTCCTTTTATGCACATAAATCAATATGACAATCTATGAATCCATTATATAATCTAGAAAGCAAGGCCTCAAATGAATTCTGTTCTGTTGAAGTACATGTACAAAATGTACTTTCATTGAAAATGCTAAAAGAAATAATGTATAACATGTTCAAATGTATAATAAAATGAAGTTACAATACATCTGCCAAATTGCCTTAAATATTTTTATATGGCAAAAATGGCTTATTTTGATCTTTTAAAACAAGAACAACAGATCTAGACTTGCCCTGTTTCTTGTTGCTGTATATCATATTTGTTTATTTGTTCCTTGTTTTGTTTATAAATCATTATCAGTCTGTTAGTTTCCTCATTTGCATTGTTTAACATTTGTCATTTCCATTAAATGTCTTTTATAGCTGACTTTCTGGTATGGGCTTTGTTCATTGTTGAAGTCATCTTGTACATTTGTACCATAACTTTAATATACTTGTTAACTTCTATGTCATTTGATCTCTTGTGGAGAATAGGACTCTTCTCATTGGCAATCTTACCACATCTTCTTATTTTTATATTCACATTTAAGTAGATGTAAAGTAGACCATTCATGCACTCTAGGGTCCACTTCTACTTATAATGTACAAGGTGATAAGACCTGCCGCTGTAATAGCCTGGGTCATATTTTTCAGCTTAAACATATGTGAATAGGTGTGGAAAACTATCAGAAGTATAATACATGTATGATAAGGCTGAGAAATACTAGATGTTTATTGTTATAGTACTCAGTAATAGTAGTCTCAGACTCAGGATAATCAAGGCTTATTGTACTTGTCATATGATGGGGGGTAGGAGGGGTCCTGATCCCGAAATCCCGGGCTTAAAAACATGGAATTCTGAGGTCCCGAATTTAAAAAAATTTATACCCAGACATCCCGAAATTCGAAAAAAAAGAATTCCCGGATCCCGAAAGGATCAATCCCGAAATCCCGAGCTTAAAAACACCCGATCCCAGAGTCCCGATAAAGGTCCTACCCCCCTCTCAGATGCAAAGCCCTGTAATTTTCTTACATTTGTGTAGTTGCAAGTCTCGTTTTGCCTTAAGTTAACATAAAATAAGAAATTTGAGCCTCAGATTTGAGCTTTAATCAAATGTGATGATTTTCTCGGTAATACCGGAATGTGATTCTTGTCCGCTCCTGCATGTCCTGGAATCATTCATTATTAAAATTGGGAAAAGGTTACATGTACATTATTACCTACGCGATGTATGAAAAGGTATATACATTTTTTAAATCTAAATTATATGAAAAGGGGGGAGTAATTGATCCCCAGGGGCACCCCTATCTATTAAGTGTAAAATAGCTATTAATTGCTAGAGAGATAATAAAGTCGTCTACATTTTCATGGTTTTAAAACAACTGAAAAACAAATACAAATACCACACATGTATCATAAGATATACAGGTCTGCATCAGTTAAAGTAATTAAGTTCTGTTGTGACATTAGATAAACAATTTCAATACATTACATCAAGTATATGATGTCCTCCCCTTGTATATGATATCCCCCCTTTTTCCAAGTTTGTCTTATTGTCTAAAGGGCTTACAAATTATATGGTTATTTGGGATGTATTTGTGTCTAAATCTTGTAATATCCTCATTATGAAATATAAATAGATAATGAAACGGATTACCCAATGCAATTATATTTATATTACAATATGGGGGGGGGGGGGGGTCCAAACTTCAATGTCGTTCTCAGGTTTACAAATATCTACAGTCAAATAGTCTTTCGTGAAAAATAAAGCACACACATCTTCCTGCTTTAATCCAATAATTAAACAAAATGTGCATAATAATATTTACCTTTCGTTCCGCTTTTAGGGTACGTAAAATTATCCATCAAAACAAAAACACTTTGACTTTTGTTGCGTTGACTTTCGTTTCATAAATTTTCTATGTTTCGTTCCCCGGTTTCTTCCAGTTAATCGACAAGTTACCCATTTCATCTAGACAAATCGGCATCTAACATAGATAAATCGGCACCTTATAAAGATAAAATCAATTATTTTATCCTTGATCAAAATATAGTGAACCAAACATTAAAGTTACCTGGCACTGATATATGTATGTGGGTATGAACTCAATTTACAAGTTTAGTGTTAATATAGCGATTATGTTTGACTGTTTTTACAAATTACCAATTTAATTCCTGCACTATTTATGACATTATTGTCAATATTGTATATGGTATCTTTGAAGAAGTATCTTATTCTTTTTGGTTTTTTTTATTTGTGAAGACTGTATTGCAGCTTAGTCATTTGGATAGCTGTCTTGTCAACTTATTCGTAGATCTAATTTTGTTGAACATTTTTGTCACTTAAAGTTTCCCTTCATCTATTATACTTTCTTAAAAATAACTTGAAAATTTAATTTAAAAAAAAATGCCTTTCAAGCCAATAACTCCTATAAGGGATAAATTTACAATTTCGGTCAGTTAACTTAGTTAACTTAGTTGTAGATAACTTAGTTAATTTAGTTGTAGATAACTTAGTTAACTTAGTTGTAGATCTCAACTTGCTGTTCAAAATTTCTCTTTATCAGCATTTAAGATAATAATAAAAAAAAAAAAAAAAAAAAAAAAAAAAAACAGAGATATTTCGTAAAATTTATAATGCCAGATGCAATAACTGCAAATAGGGTTGTCCAATTGGTTTGAAAAATTACGTGGCAGATAAATCTTAACATGCTTATCATTTTTATCCTTATAAAAATAAGGAGATGAGGTATGATTGCCAATGAGGCAACTATCCACAAAAGTTCAAATAAAGTGGATGTAAGCAATTATAGGCAAGCCTTCAACAATGTAAATGTATTAGCAGCCATGCTCAGTTAATTGTAGATATTAAATCAGATACCTCGTGTAGGGAGAATGTAGCAATTCACTCTTTCATGGTGCCATCAGTTGTATTATGGAAGGCAACATTTTTTTTTAATTTCCGCAACTTTTATTTAAAACGGCCTCTATTACATAACGGAGATTGCAGTAGTTTCTAACTGAAGTCATAAAAAAAATCGGTCTTCACACGCTCTTATTTTTAGCTCACCTGACCTGAAAGGTCAAGTGAGCTTTTCTCATCACTTTGCGTCCGTCGTCCGTCGTCCTGCGTCCGTCGTCCGTCGTCCGTCGTCCGTAAACTTTTACAAAAATCTTCTCCTCTGAAACTACTTGGCCAAATTTAACCAAACTTGGCCACAATCATCATTGGGGTATCTAGTTTAAAAAATGTGTCCAGTGACCCGGCCAACCAACCAAGATGGCCGCCATGGCTAAAAATAGAACATAGGGGTAAAATGTAGATTTTGGCTTATATCTCTGAAACCAAAGCATTTAGAGCAAATCTGACATGAGGTAAAATTGTTTATCAGGTCAAGATCTATATGCCCTGAAATTTTTAGATGAATTGGACAACCCGTTGTTGGGTTGCTGCCTCTGACTTGGTAATTTTAAGGAAATTTTGCCGTTTTTGGTTATTATCTTGAATATTATTATAGATAGAGATAAACTGTAAACAGCAATAATGTTCAGCAAAGTAAGATCTACAAATAAGTCAACTTGACCAAAATGGTCAGTTGACCCCTTAAGGAGTTATTGCCCTTTATAGTTAATTTTTAACCATTTTTCATAAATTTTTGTAATCTTTTACAAAAATCTTCTCCTCTGAAACTACTTGGCCAAATTTGTCCAAACTTGGCCACAATCATCATTGGGATATTTAGTTTAAAAAATGTGTCCGGTGACCCGGCCAACCAATCAAGATGGCCGCCATGGCTAAAAATAGAACATAGGGGTAAAATGTAGATTTTGGCTTATATCCCTGAAACCAAAGCATTTAGAGCAAATCTGACGGAATAAAATTGTTCATTAGGTCAAGATCTATCTGCCCTGAAATTTTCAGATCAATCAGGCAACACGTTGTTGGGTTGCTGCCCCTGAATTGGTCATTTTAAGAAAATTTTGCAGCTTATGGTTATTATCTTGAATATTATTATAGATAGAGATAAACTGTAAACGGCAATAATGTACAGCAAAGTAAGATCTACAAAAAAGTCAACATGATCAAAATTGTCAATTGTCCCCTTAAGGAGTTATTGCCCTTTATAGTCAATTTTTTACAATTTTCATAAATTTTGTAAATTTTTGTAAATTTTTACATAATATTTTCCACTGTAACTACTGGGCCAAGTTCATTATAGATAAAGATAATAGTAAGGAGCAAGAATGTTCAGTAAAGTAAGATCTACAAACACATCACCATCACCAAAACACAATTTTGTCATGAATCCATCTGTGTCCTTTGTTTGATATGCACATAGACCAAGGTGAGCGACACAGGCTCTTTAGAGCCTCTAGTTTTAGATTACAATCCCAACTAGTGTTAATCCCGAATAACTGCAACAATTTAGGCCCAATCCTAAATTCCCGGTATGATAATAGAACCTATATACAGTATTTATTGTTAACATGATTTCGTTCAAATAATGCATGAAATATTTGGCACTGGATGTTATTTCTCTTGTTCGTGTGTCTTTAGTGATGCTCGAAACCTAAAATTTATTAGAAACCCGGAAAACCAGTTTTTGATTTGAAGAGCTTTTAAAATATCAGAACTGTTGAAAAAAAGGGAAGTCAATTCTGCTGAAAGCCTGCCTTCGGATTAATATAAAAGGCATCATCGGAGTTTATTAGCAACTCATAATTTACAGAGTAAACGATTAATTATACTGCACTAGAGTTATATGTATGTTCGCTCTTAATGAGCATGAAATACTTGGAACTGGACAATAAGCAAATTCAGTCAAAAGTTAATTCATATGTTACATATTAAATTTGCAATTATGATAATCATTAACAACCGGCATTGAACAAACTAATGCTTATAAATTACTACCTCATCAACTGTTTCCCCCATCATAGAATTGTCTTTATATGAAAGACGAAGAAGAAGAAAATTACAGATGTTTTATAATATAAATAAAAAACATGCACCTCAGTACCTGTGTAATCTTGTCCCCCCATGTATACAAAGTACAACCAACTATCCGTTGCGAAACGGTCAAAATATCATTGTTCCATTTTGTAGACTTTCCCTTACCACTGAATCTTTTATTCCATCCACGATACGAGAATGGAATAAGCTTGACTTAAAAATTCGAAACACCGACTCTATATCTAAATTCAAGAGAGAATTGAAAAATGAAAGTGTTCAGAGTAGAGTTGCGCCGTATTATATGTACGGTCCGAGGAAACTGAATATTATTTTAACTCAATTGCGATGTTCCGCTTCATTTTTGAACTCTGACCTTTTTAAAGCTAACATTATACTGGATCCTTCGTGTCAGTGTGGGTCTGATATTGAGGATGTTCATCATTTTCTATTAGTTTGCCCAAAATACACTACATGTAGAGAACTTTTACTTAACAATCTTAATTGGCTTACTGAAAACTTTATTATTGATACTAAACTATTAACTTGCGGAGATCTTGAACTTTCGAATGAACAAAATCTCCTAATTTTCAAACATGTTCAAGATTTTATTAAAAGGTCTAACAGATTTCTAGTACCTTCATAAAATATTATTGCTACCGGCACGGATAATCATCACCATCAAACCTAAGTCAACATCACAGAAAATATAATTTTCTTCTTTTTTTTCCCTCCTTTTCCATTCTTCTTGTTCTTATTTTCTTTTTAGTTATAGTTCGTATAATATTTAATGAATTTGTTAGCTTTAGATGCATGCTCATAATGTTATTATTGTATATATACTTGTATTGTAATATGGAGAAGACTTCATAAGTATGATTTACTTGTGTCTCATCCATTTTGCTGATATTTAGCAAATAAAATATGTTTAAACTAAATAGAATTGCCGTAAACGTTATTGATTTTATTTAGGACATACATGTATTGGCGCTAAAAGACGTGAGACGTTATGGCGTTTAACAGTGGACACGTTTTGGCGAATAACAATTATCGGACACGTTTGGGGGTTTTGAAATCGGACACGTTTGGGCCATATTGAATATTACGGACACGTTTGGGGAGAATAGACACGTTTGGGGGAATCGGACACGTTTGGGGGGATGGACACGTTTGGGAGTGTTACATATGTTTCTGGGTTTTTACTCATTATGGCTTGCACGCGCTTTTATGTTTATGGGTTTTAATATTAAAACAATAAAATATAGTTTTCAGGTATTGTGTTGTCTTTACAGATGTAAGAATCAAACGAGAACACAAGCTGAAACACAAGCTATACACTTTTGATTTCTCATTTGTCTCTATTGAGAAATTATCAGATTTATACATAAAATACTGATTAATGCATAACTACAATTAATTATGATTTTATTTTAATTAAATGATGTTTATTCAAACACCGTCATATCTAACAATCAATTATGATTTAATTAAATGATGTTTTACTATTCATACACAATCATTTAGGATTTAATTAAATGATGATTTCAAATTTTGTTATTGTATATTTTATCAACGGATTATAATATTACGGTAACAATTCTTTTATTTTTCCTAATATATATATTTAAAAAAAATGAGGTGCCGAATTGTCTTGGTCCCGAAATGTCCGGATCCCGAACTGTCCAAAATGGATGCCGAAATGTCTTCGGACTTGGGTGCCGATTTGTCTGGGTGCCGAAATGTCTTGTTACCGGGACAAACATATGAAAAACATATGAAAATCATATGTTTTTCATATGTTTTGAAAACATATGAAAAACATATGTTGCAATTTTTCCTGTGTAATGATGGCTGTGACATACATTTGTATATTTTCAGTTTCAAAACTTTAAAGAATATTTGCACTTAAATCTAAAGTTTTGAAGGGGTAATACTTTAGGAAGATTTTGTAAGAAATTATGCACCAAAGGCCCTAACTATGGAGTCAGCCTGGGAACAGTATATATAGTGTGT